TTAATTATAAATTCTGGAAATAGGATGTCATGGTTAAAAAATGCATGGCGAGCCTTATGTATAGTCCTGAATGAGATCTTATGGGATATTTTAGCTGATGACATTGTGATGGAAGATGAACCACAGATGTGGCTGGAGAAGGTAGCTGCAGCCAGAGCTGCACGAACCATTGCGCTGTTTTAAATACTCATTACTTGGCCACAAAAGATTATTTTTTGTAGTTAGATGGGAGCTCAAACACAAATGCCTTTTTTTGCAGCCAAAGAGGGAATCCTTTAGCTGAAGATTAGAAGGCAAGGGGCTCTGGAAATGCTGCCTGCTGTTACTCAAAGTATAAATGATTAGCAATACCAGGATTTCATCCCAGGAGGTGAAATTTAACCTTCCCTACCACCCCCCCCCACACACTGGAGTAACTGAACTGTGTGCACAGAAGTGCCTGAAAGGGAGAAAAAAGATTTTGCCCCAGTGCTGCTGTTCTACCCCTTTGTAGGGAAAAAGACTTTGTATTGCATGACAAGGAATATTTAGCAGAAAAAAAAATCCAAATATATATTCTATGAACAAATTAATACTTGTCCAAATGTGAAAAATGTGCAAAAAGGAGTTCCTTTTAATGCCCGTGAACACACAGGGGAAAAGTATAAAGTCACAAAATGAGATACAACTAGTGAGGAACATAATAAGAAGAAAGTGTTTGGTAAGTGCCCTCTTTACACAGGAAAAGACCTAGGAAAGATTACATCTGTCACTCAGCAAAGAGAGAAAGCTTTTGACAGATCACCCTAAGAAAGCCTTTTTTACTTTCATCTTCACTACAGGAATCAGCTGTGATCAGATTGCAAAAATAATCAAGACCAGCATTAGGATGGTGGGAGCTCTGGCTACAGTAGGAAAAAGAGTTTCAAGAGCCCTCAGAAAACACACAGATAAGGTCAGGCCATTAAACTCATCTTAGAAGAATTTCAGAACTACAGGGATCATCCCCAAAAACTTCTGGAGGACCAATGGTTTCCAGAAGACTCAGACTAGCGCAAACACATCTTTAAGACGGAAGAGTGGGAAGGGACCATTGCATCATCTTGGCTTCTGTTCACATAAAAATACCAAAACAAAACTATCCATAAGAACCTAGAATAAGACTTTTGGAGACGAGTAACAGACAACATGGAATTATTAAGGATAAATTATGTCAAACCTACCTAATCACATTCCATGACAGTGTGACAGACCTTGTGAACAGAGAAGTCATATATGTTGACTTCTGTTAACTTCTACCACTGTCTCACATATCAGCCTCACATGAGCGAGCTAGGGGGTATCCTTCAGATGACATTACTGTAGTTGGCTGGAAAAGGTCAGAAAACCCACCTCCAAAATTATAACTTCATGGCCCATTGTCAGGATGGAATAACGTCTGGAGGGGGTTCTGGGCTGTGCAATATCCAATACTTTTATTAATGTCTTCGAAGGTGGAAAACATTTTGCAAGATATCTGCAGATGGTTGCAAGCTAGAGGGAACAGCAACAGCCTTTGAAGACAGCATTGTAACACACAATGATCCTGACAAAATGCAGAAACAGTCTGAAAAAATAGGATGCAATTCAAGATGAATCAGTGCGAAGTTGTCACTGATGCATAATCAGCTGTTCAAATATAGGATGGGGACAACTGATTACAAAGCAGTTCTACAAGGAAGAGTCTGGCATTACAGTGAATCAGAAGCTGTAAGTGAGTCAATAGTGTTGTGCTCCTGCAAAAAGGGCATATGTCAAACTGGGACATATAAACAAGTGTCATATGTTGTACATGTGACGCAATCCCACTTGGTGCTGGGAAGATTTCAAATGCAATACAGCATCCGGGTTTTGGCGCTGCACTTCAAAACATATGTTGTCCAGCCATGGAACAATGAAAATGGTGCCAGGTCCAGAAAACATGACCTACAAGGAATGACTGAAGAAATCGAGGGTGTTTGGTGAGTAGATGTCATAAGTCTTCAAATAGATTAAAAAGTGCTGCGGGCGGGGGAGAAGGGGGGGGGGGGAAGAAACTGTTCTCCATTTCATTTGAGAACATCATAAAAAGAAACAGGTTTCCATAAAGTGTTCAAGAGTAGAAAAAATTTCTAATGGTAAGGCTGCTAGAACAGATTGCCCAGAAGAACTATTGAATGTGTATAGCATTGGTCAAATGTTCCTCAAAAGGGAAACAAGTAGAGTTAATCATATCACTGGGCAGAGAGAGGACTGACCAGATCACTCACCAGCTGCTCTCTTTTCTGTAAGGAATCCTCGCTCTGTCTGTCAAGATTCTTTTACAACCACTGTAATCCCAATTATTTTTAATCATTTTTTCCCAGTAATTTTGAATAAGAAGTAAGTAAACACCGAAGCTGACAATGTCATTGGCTGGCAATATTACTACATATTGAAACCTTTTCATTTATCAAACCCAAATAGCTCCTAACTTTTTTGCTTGATTGTTTATAGCGCTTGTCAGGATTCCTACTTTTTCCTTCTCTAAAGTGGTAGGCAAAGTGTGAAGGGGAGGAGGGTCATCAACTCACCTTATGAGTTATATACCTACATGTTTATAACTTCAGGGAGTGGAAGGGAAGAAGAAAAAAAAAGGAAATAAAATAAAACCCAATGCCGTTTAATTATCAGCATAGCAGCCACAGAAAGACAGACAGACAACAAAAGTAAGATAAGAGGCACTTCAAGTAACACAGCTGAGTTTGCTGTGACTACTTGTGATGGGAACTGTTATCAAAGTCAAGTACACAAAGTGTATTCAGCCCTTTATTGTGCACAAAAATATCTGTGAACTTTAATGTATACTGAATCACACACATTACTTTGAAAAATCAGACCCAAACCACTCCAAAGCTATACAATAGAGGATTTTCACTATCCCTAATCACACTCTTGTTCCATGTAATCTGCACCTAACCAAGAAATTGAAAAACCTCTAAGAGCAGACCTGATTGACTGTATATTGCTAGATTTGGCGGGGGGGGGCCCCCCCCAGAAAAGTCCTTCCGGATCCCAGTGGGGAATTCAGCTCATGCCCTGAAGCATGAGATTTGATTACTCTTTTTTGAACATGCATAACTGCCATTGCTATTACTGGTCATAACATTTTGTCAGGAAAGAGAAATATTATTCTGCAATGTAATAAAAATAGATAAAATTCAATATAGCTTCAGAATCATTTGCTACATTTCCAAAGTAAACATTAAGCACCCATCAAGATTATTCCATTGGATAAGCCAAGGAAGCCTCCAGTACTATCTGTTCATTTTATTATCTCTAATTTTCAACTGTGCAAAAATGCTTTCGGTAAATATTATGGGTTCTTCCTGTGCTAGAAGAGATACTAAATGACCTTCACCAACTTAGTTATAAATAACAGAAGCAGGGAGCACACAAATGCTGTGTAGTTTCAGCTCTATTCAAACCTATCAGCAAATTCTGACCAGTGGATAAAAATGGACACCAGATTCTGCTTACTTTTTTTTCCCCTTCTTCATAATCCCACCCCAGTTCCCTCTTGAAAGGCATTCTGTTCTGTCAGCCATAATGGCATCTGCTGGTGGAGACAGGAAGCCATAAATCTGTAGGGTTCCTCTCGACCAAGCCTTGTTAATGCTCCCATTTATCACCGAGGATAGGGTGCCATCTCACTAGTGCTCTACTCACAAGTCCATCTTCTCAATTTCCCCTTCCCAAAGGAGTAACCATTTAAAACAGTGACTTTCTCATCTTGCATGTTGAGACTGAAAACGCCACTGATACAAATACCATACCCAGTGTGTAGCATTTGGATTTAAGCCATGACTCTGGAGAACAATAGCCACTACTTGCTGATCCCAGACTACATTGAATCGCTGCTTTGCTTACATCTAGAGCTTGTATCTTTTCAACTTGCACAGAAGTAGCAGATACCAGATGGAAAGGTTAAAATCTGAGGGGGCCCTGACACTTGCCTCCCCCTTCTCCCCCTGATGCCTGCTAGTTTCCCATCGCATTGCAATACTGTACAATGGTTTGGGAGAATTGTTAGTAAAAGAAGCATGTGCTAAAGCAGCATTTACTACCCAGTCCTTCAAAATAAGCTATCATAATCAGAGGTGCAGTATCTTTCTGCACCGTCAGGGAGGAGAGAGAATATAAAACCAACTAGAAGTGTCTCCATTTGCTTGATTTGGGAACCAGGACACAGAAACTGAAGGGATCAACATCACAAATCACTGCTAGATGAAATGTGAAAAGAAAATCCTGGTTTGCCACCCTGCCCCTGAACTACCTGATCCAGGGCCACACTCAGTGTGTCACCCTTCTCACACAGTGCTGAGGTAACCCACATTCAACCCTGCCTGATCGGGGGACACAGCAGAAGTCCCTTAGTGTGCACCAACTGCATTTTACACGTGCTGCATGCAGGTAGAAGAGGGCTGTGCAATTCCAACTGATTCAAGCAGAGCTGTTCACTTCTGAGTGAGTTATGCTAGGCAGAAGTGGAAAAATGCGCATTTTATAGTACTGTTATCCTATTTTATCTTTCAAACTAAGCATTTGCTTGCACCAATAAATACTTTCAAATTGCTTACAAAAATTGCTAGAGTTCGTACAGGCAAAGCTATCAAACAATTTAAGTGAAATCAGTTAGGTGGACACTTTCATAAACACAATCTCCTATTAGACTGCTAAATATAAAGGTCACGTAGGGGTCTTCCTGTGGAAACTCATTCCCTGCCTGAGCAGAGGGACTGTGAATCTCCAGTGCCACCGGCTACAACACAGCAGCTCTCACTGGTGCTTTGTAACAGAGCCTGGTTGAACAGACTGATTGTTCAGGGTTGCCAATGATTCCTATTAAACCCAAGAGTTTCACTAGAAAGCTACAATGCCAAAACAGAATGTCTAAGAACTCAGTTTCCTAGCAAACTCTGGGACTGGGCTGTGGAGTATTGCAACATCCACTTTTAAGAGGTCTTACACAAACTGTAGCTGAATATAGAGAAATTAATCCATCTTTTCAGCCCCAAATCGCTTTTAAACCCTCAAGGTGTTAACAGCAGTTGTGGGGAATAAACGGAAATGAATAAATGGGGCAGGGAAGTTATCTCCCCGTCTCTTGTGGAACAACGCTGTTCAGAGTTCCCATGTCCCGTCTCCCTCCTTGGGCTGGCCGCTTGCTGGCCTCTCTGGAAGGATGAGACAGCCGGTGTGCTGGGACGGGACCTCGCTCTGGGTTACCAGGAGGGTGCAGCAGCACTCGATGGAAGTTCCCGATTCCCCCTAATGCAGGTGGCGGGGGAAAGTCGGGGAGCTGCGGGGGCTTGTCCCGGACGGGCTGACCCCGCTCTGCCGGGCCATCGGCGTGCAGGCGCTCCCTACTGCAGCCCTGCCTGCGCTTCACCTGAACTTCACCCAACTTCCCGTGTACGTCCAGCCACGCCGCTCCTAACCGCGGGGTGCCCGTTCGGGTGAGGAGGAGAAGAAGATACGCTGGGAAAGCGCTCCGCTCCCCGGCTCCAGCTCCTCGCGGGCACTCGCCCCCGAAGCTGCGCTCGCCAGCCGGTGGTGCCGCCGCACGGGGGGAGCACCCTCCGCAGTCCCCGCCACCCTCCCGCCCCGCCGTAGATCCCCGTTATCCGCTTGTTAGATCTGCAGTGACGCAGGGCGAGGGGCGCTGACCCCCCCTACCCCAAATCCCCCCACTCGGGGCCGCCCCGTCGCGGCTCCCCCCAGCTCCCAGCCGTCGGCGCTCCCGGCAGCGCCTCCCTCGGGAGCCGAACTCCGCGGGCCCTGTCTCTTTAACGGCGCGGCGTGTGGCGGTGCGCGGAGCGGATCGCGTCCTGTCACCGGGTCGCGGAGGAGGAGTTTGTTAATGTTCAGTTTGCTCGGTGGATCGATGTTTGCTGGCATCGCCTCGCCCTGCCTGTGTATGTGTGTGTGTGCGGGTGTGTGTGTGTGTGTGTGCGTGTGTGTGCCTGTGCAGTGTGTGTGTGCGTGTGAACAGCAGATTTCCTCCCATCCAAAGCCTCCCTGTCCTCTCCCATATCACTCACCGCCTGGCATCTGACAGCACGGAACCTGCAGCGCTCCGCGCACACGCACACACACACACACACACACCCGGGCACCGCTCCGCCATACAGCTCTGCGAGGAGGAGGAGAGGAGAGGAAAGGGAGGAAGCAGCCAGCCCCACAGTCTTTCCAGAGCTGCCTTTTTTAATATATACATATCTATTTTGTTATTTATTTATTGCCATCCTCTGGCACTGTGAGCGCCTTTCATTTGCTCCTGAGCTTGGATGTTTGAATCAAAGCAAAGCAAGTGTTGCAACAGTTAAAAAAAAAAAAAAAAAAAAGAAAGAGAAAAGAAAAAAGCCAACAAAAAAAAAAAAAAAAAAAAGAAGAAAGCGAGAGAGAAAGAAAGAAACCTAGATCTCTAAAATAAAATAAAAACCAAACAGGTTCCTATCAGTGAAGTGGGAAGGAGGGGGGCAGGGGAGGCTTGAGGGGGTGCCGAGGGAAGCGGCTGAGGCAGAGGAACACGGCTCAGGAGCGTCTCAGGGCTCTCGGATCTGGGGACAGAAGTGAGATTGGAGAAAGTAGAGCGATGCCAAGGAGGAAACAGCAAGCACCCAAACGGGCTGCAGGTAAGGAGAAGCCATCCACTGCACAGCCTCTGTCTCTCCGCTCCTTCCGATCCTACCCCCCATCTTTATTATTATTTAGGGTCACCCTTGCTTTTCCGGGCTGGATCTTTATTTATTTATCCCCCCTCCCCCTCCCTTTCCCTTCCTAACTCCGCGGAGCCAGTTTCGGTCCCGATTGCCAAGAGCTTTGCTCTGATACGGGCTGGCCCCTCCGCCGCCCGCCGCTCCCGCCGCGCTCGTTCCGCTGCCCCGGTGCCGCTGGTACCTCCGGTACCTCCGGTGCCTCCCGCCCCGAGCCCCTCCTGCCCCGGCCAAACTTTTCCCCCCAACTTTCTTCCACTCGGCGCCCCTTCCCCCCGGCCCCTCTTCCTTCCCGAGCCTCCCATCGGCTTCCCGCTCCAGTCCCTACCGTCGTTTGGGTTTTTTTCCCCGTTTCTAATTCCCCCCTCCCAGTGGTTTTTGGTTTTAAAACGCTTGTTTCGCCAAGTGGGTCGGTGCGGTTAATCTTTTATTTCGCCGTGTTTCTGGTGGCAGCGCTGGCCGGGTGTGTGTGTGTGTGTGTGTGTGTGTGTGTGTGTGTGTGAACGTTGTGTCTGCCTGAAATAGTACAGGGACTGTCTCTGCTGATGAACCCGGTGGGGAAGTTCAGCCTTTGATCATCAGTGGTGAAAATTGCAACAGGAAATAAAATGAAACGTTCTGACTGTTAGAAGACAATCCGCATTTTCAAATCAAATCCTTCTTTTGTTTTGTAGCCGAGTTGATATATTTGCACATGCCAAGTGGTTTTGTAATGTAGTTTTTATTTTATGTTTTTCTTTTTTAAGAACAAAATAGTTTGTAACTTTGGAAGTGTTTTGTTTTGTCCTTTATAGGGAGTTCTTCTTTTGGGGGCCAAGGAAAAGATGAGTGGGCCTGTATAGTAAATCTTTTCAAAGAGTTTTCTTTCAGGCTGCTTAATTGCTTTTTTTTTTTTTTTTTTTTTTTTTTTTTTTAATAGTGTGGTGGGGTTTTGTTTCTGGGAAGCGCAATATGGAAGTTCATTTTTCTTCTGCCAGACCCACCCACTGAAAAATCAGCTTTCCAGTTGATTGCCAGCTTTGATTTGACATTTGATTGATCACCTGTCATCTTGCTGCCTTTGATCTATTCATTCTTGATATATATCAATAAATCACTCACCATGGTAACCCAAGTGCCAATGACGTAAGGCTTGCCCTCTAGATTCTCTTAGCCAGACATGCACAATTATTATCTTGTTTGGCTTTTAATGTAGGCGGGTTTTTCCCCCCCCCCCCCCCTTTTTTTTTCCCTTTGTGTCCTTCATTAGTTCTTTAGAGAAAACTCATATTTTATGGTTTCAGTTTAAAACAGTTTGCTAATTTTTCCTCCCCCTTCCGAATTTTTTCTAGGTGTGGTATATTATGTGTGGGACAAAATGTATGGGCAACTTTAGTGGCATACTTGAATAAACTTTGAAAAGTAGTGCTCAGGATTTGTTCAGGGGTAAATGATATTTCAGAGAATCTGGGACACGCGTAACTTTTATAAACTTGCCTATTTTGCTGTGTTCACGTAGGTGTAGGACAGTGGTGTGCAGGCAGAGCCTTTTGGGACATGACCAATGAATGTACCTATGCCAGTTGCTCATATGAGTCCTGGCAGCAAAGATCCGCTTGAACCATAAATAATAGTTGAGCTAGAAATGCATACATATATATATGCACACACACATATATTCTCTGATGGGTTGCTATTATTGTTTTATTCACAAAGAGGTTATATCTGAATAAGGCATTAACATTCTCAACTTGCAGGATAAATAGCAATTTTTTTCATGGATGCTGATCATCACAGTGACAGTGCTAGAATTGCTCCTTTTTTTCTCTCTGTCAAGAGGATGAGGCTTCATTTTATTTTGTTTTCAAAGTAGAATTTTCACGTGCAATGCATGTAGTATCTTTTTGTACAAGGGGGACCCTGTTCTTTTTAGAGACGTAGACGACAGAGTAAGTAAATTTTTGCAAGCAAAGCCCATGCTGTTGTTTCCCGGGATTTCCCTGCTAAGAATACAATAAGATATGTTTTTATCTGGAACGCCACAGTATTTTTGAGAATCTTAATGACAAGGGAGAAATTTGAATGGCCACAATTACATCCCTCCTCCCTTATTCTCAGTATAAAAGTGCATTGCTTTTCAGTGGTGCATTTCTTGATTATATTTGTCCTCAGATCAATGTTGTTTCAGGTGAGCAAAATACTGCAAATGCAGTACAGTTTCAACCAGCATAACTGATCTGAAGTAGATTTATACATTTGCTATAGTTCTGCTTTGAAGTTGCTTTCGTATGTTGGGACGGGGGGGGTCTCAAATAGTAGACGCGCCTGTTGTATCTAGTACTTAAAACTGACTTTCATTTTCAGGGATAGTACTGAGGTTCTGTTTTCTATAGTGAAAGATACCTCGAAGTGACAGTAGACAGACTGTGCAATAAGAAATGAGTTGCTCATCAGAGCTGATAGCAAAGCTTTTTATTCCTTTTATTTAAAGGAGTTAATACATTATATATTACTTAATTTTCACTTTTATTTATTTTTAGTTGAACAAGTTCAAACGTATCAGTTGCACTGTGTTCTGTCTTGATGGCAGCAGAGATATTGAAGAGAAGTTTGCAACTTTTAGCTTCTTTAGGTAGTTCACCTCCAACAGAAGAAAAATGATAAGCCTTATGATTCTGGACATGCCTGCTTTTGTCATTGCTTAAAATTAAATACTATGCACAACTGTAAATAATTACTACCATGCACTGACTTTGAAAGCAGGTTTCTAGTTTGATTAATGAATAATGTAAAGGTTAGACAGAACCAGCGAGTGAATCAGAAGTGAAGTCCTGCTGCTAGATGAAAATCTGTCTAGAGAAATATACATGGCAATTTTGTCCTTTTCTATTATTAATTTTAAGCCTTGTATTCCTAAGAAATATATTACAGACCATTGTAATGAAACAAGGTAGTGTAATTGGATAAATGGAGCACTATTTATGTTCGATGATGGGGATTTTTGATCTCAAATTACACTTTTAAAGACGCTTTATTTCACATCAACACCGAAACTATGTCAAATGCATTTTGATCTTTCCAGGGCCGAATCTTTTCTGAATTGTCATTCCTTTTTGAGATCGTCATTTCCATTTCGGTAATTCTTGAAGCAGATAGTTCCAGCTCTTTATATCAGTGCCTGCTTTAGTATCATACTTCTGTTTACGATAAACAACCCATTTGTGCTGTAGCTTTCATCAGAAGGGCTTTACAACCTCTGGGCCTAATTCTCCTCTTGCTCAGGTGCAAATAAAAAATAGCTTTACTAGCAGCATCAGTGCAGTTGCAGTGAGTACTGTCTGCTCCTGCAAGTAAGAAGAGACTTAGGCCCAGAAAGTACTTCATCCTTCAATGAAACACAGCCACCTCTGGGGTAGAAGTCTTGTAACGATTCCATAACAAATGGTAATATATTAACAGAAGGATGGAAAAAGGGTGGGAGCAAAGCAGAATTGCTATTCAGATTTTATTCCTAGGGGTATGAAATAGCTTTCAAACACAATTTCACTGGATTAAACTCTCCTTTCCCCTGCAGCTTGTTTAAATGTGCATATTTTATTTTGTGATCATGAATTGCTAGTTTGCTTTTTTAAAACCTGGAAAGAGGAATCTGAACTTAACACCTTTTCTGGTTGCAATTTTGTATTTCTTTTCTTCCTCTCTCGGCTCCAGTAGGCTATCTGAGGACCAAAGCTCAGGAAAAGTACAGCTATCAGTTTGATATCAGTCACATGTATTTTGTTTATTGGAGCTATAGAATAACACATTTTTGTTGTTGGAAGGAAGAGTCCTTGTAGAGCAGCAAGCAGAGGACGGTTAGCAGTCAGTTCTTTACAGCTGCAGTTTGCACCTTAGTAGTAAAAAGGTTATTTAAAACAGAAACATCTTTAGAAAGTGAAATTTTGCATCTGCAGAGAGCACAGTGAATGACCAGCTAGGTCTGATATGTATATTTCTGTGATTAAATGGTATATATATGTATAAATAACCAAGAGCGCTGTGGCTTTTCAAGTATTATTTGTATCCTTTAATTATAGGGCAATAGAAGCAGGTTTCAAGCAAGCAGTACTGAGTGAAAACGTAGAAATGGCAGCACTGTTTTGTTTACCCATCCTCTAGAAAAGCAAGTGCACATCAAAACCACCTAAACAGCTCATGCCTCAGAACCTTTCAGTTACTGTGCACATCACAGTGCTGACAGATGACAGAAAAGCCAAGGTGTTCACAAACAAGAGGAGTCTGTAAATCCTGGTTAATTAAATATATTCCAAAATATACTTTTACAACTAAAGAGGCACCAAAATAAGTCGCTATCTGCATATAAGTTCTGTAATCGGCTACTAAGCCCGAAGTTACTATGTAATTTTTTCCCATGTCAAAACTCTGGCCTGAAAAGGGCAATTTGAAATCATGTTCATTTTAGTTACTGTTTCCTTATTTCAGTTTTACTCTCATATCAAAACACAGTGTATTATCACTATATAAAGAGTGGGACTCACCAAGAGTTCAGCCCCTGTGACTGTTAAATAAAAGATATTTCCATCAGTAAATGACACAATTTTATAGCACTTTTAAAAACATGTTCATTGTCAGAAATTCTTTTGCATAAATGCGCTCCCTCTTCTGTGCTCTCTAATTGAAAAGCTCATTTTCTTCAGAACGACAGGATTTTGGTATTTCCTCCTGGAGCTTGCTTCTCCTGATTTTCCCTCTCATTAGTAGCACCCACCTCACGCAACTGTTTCCCCTAGAAGAGGTCCCTGGAGTTCCTCTGTAGCACAGAGCCAGGGTGAGCTTTTCTCCTGTGATTTAACTTCCCATCCCGATGAGGACATCACTCTGAGAGAGCAACTCCAGACTTGCGGGGAAAAAAAGCTGTCAGTTGCTGTGGCTGCAATTCC